AAGAAAAATTTCCTACTCAAGTTCTATGTCCTGTGTGTGATTCCTTTATTTTATGAGAAGGATGGGATTTTTTTTGTTTGTTTGTTTGTCTGTTTGTTTTTTATTTTTCTTGGCTGCACCGCATGGCTTGTGGGATCTTAGTTCCCCAGTCAGGGTTTGTACCCAGGCTCTTGGCAGTGAAAGCAGGGAGTCCTAACCACTGGACTGCCAGAAAATCCCCGACAAGGATGATTTGGATGGTGGCTAGAAGCAGAAGGAGTTGGAGAGTTCGGTGGGGACTCCGGGTGGGAGGACCCCATCTTCCAGACTAAAGTTTTTAGACCCACTCCCCGACAGTGGGAGCCCTTAAAAGTTTTTATTGCTAGATGACTTTAATATAAGTAGGATCATTTAATGAAGTATAATTTATTCCCAGGTTCTTTTCAAGCTTGGTGTGTTATCTTTTTATATTTTAAAGATTCATCCCTGATTTTTTTTGTTCAAAATCACTCCCTTCCTGTCTCTTAGCTCTCCGATCTCAGGATCACCTCATAGAGTGGAGAGGCGCCCCTCCTGAAAGAGGAGATGCCCGGGGGCAGCGCTGCGTCGTGCAGGCAGCCAGCAAGTCTGCGTTTACCTGCCACGTAGGGCAGCCCCCTTCAGCGGGGCCCTGGTACCCCAGGGCCTTCCTGTGGCTAACGGGTTGCCTCGGTTACCACTGCCCTATGGCCTGCCTCTGTCCTGACTCACCCAGCTCTTCAGGATCTGCTTCTTCCTCATTCAGCATCAGTGTGCTGTTGGTCCTTGCCCCCAGTCAGGACCTGTTTGTCTGTTCCTCATTCCTCTTCACCCTGTTCTGAGTGATCGTCCCTGGGTGCTAGGATCATGCCTTCTTAGACCTGGTAATACCTGCCACATTATCCCAACTTACAGGGAATATCTTTAGGGCAGACCTGCAAGTTCCTCTTGAATCACATGTCCTACGTGGCCTCTTCCCTGGCCTCTTGGAGGTTGTCCTGCTCAGGGAAGGTGGGAGGCCTGGCATTGTGGCCGGAGCACCCTGTTGTCTTCAAGGATTATATGTGAATTAGAGAAAACAGATGTATCTGAATGAATACTGAACTATTCATTGTTCTTCTGTGCTCAGTTGAGGGGGTTATTTGTTTTATTTTGGATTAATAACTGCTGTAAGAAATGTGAAGTTTTAGGACTTTTGAAAATCGCTAAGCTCTGGGCGATTTTCACAGACTAATGATCTTTCTGAAGAGGCTTTACAAATAGCTGTGAAAAGAGGAGAAGTGAAAAGCAAAGGAGAAAAGGAAAGGTATACCCATTTGAATGCAGAGTTCCAGAGAATAGCAAAGAGAGATAAGAAAGCCTTCCTCAGCGATCAATGCAAAGAAATAGAGGGAAACAATAGAATGGGAAAGACTAGAGATCTCTTCCAAGAAAATTAGAGATACCAAGGGAACATTTCATGCAAAGGTGGACTCAATAAAGGACAGAAATGGTATGGACGTAACAGAAGCAGGAGATATTAAGAAGAGGTGGGGCAAGAATACACAGAAGAACTGTACAAAAAAGATCTTCATGACCCAGATAATCACAATGGTGTGATCACTCACCTAGAGCCAGACATCCTGGAATGCGAAGTCAAGTGGGCCTTAGGAAGCATCACTATGAACAAAGCTAGTAGGGATGATAGAATTCCAGTTGAGCTATTTCAAATCCTAAAAGATGATGTTGTGAAAGTATTGCACTCAGTATGCCAGCAAATTTGGAAAACTCAGCAGTGGCCACAGGACTGGAAAAGGTCAGTTTTCATTTCAATCCCAAAGAAAGGCAATGCCAAAGAACGCTCAAATGACTGCACAGTAGCACTCATCTCACATGCTAAAGTAATGTTCAAAATTCTCCAAGCCAGGCTCCAACAGTACATGAACTGTGAACTTCCAGATGTTCAAGCTGGATTTAGAAAAGGCAGAGGAACCAGAGATCAAATTGCCAGCATCCGTTGGATCATCAAAAAAGCAAGAGAATTCCAGAAAAACATCTGCTTTATTGACTATGCCAAAGCCTTTGACTGGGTAGGTCACAGCAAACTGTGGAAAATTCTTAGAGATGGGATTATCAGACCACCTTACCTGCCTCTTGAGAAATCTGCATGCGGGTCAGGAAACAACAGTTAGAACTGGACACGGAACAGACTAGTTCCAAATAGGAAAAGGAGTATGTCAAGGCTGTATATTGTCACCCTGCTTATTTAACTTATATGCAGAGTACATCATGAGAAATGCTGGGCTGGATGAAACACAAGCTGGAATTAAGATTGCTGGGAGAAATATCAATAACCTCAGATATACAGAGGACATCACCCTTATGGCAGAAAGCAAAGAGGAACTGAAGAGCTTCTTGATGAAAGTGAAAGAGGAGAGCGAACAAGTTGACTTAAAACTCAACATTCAGAAAACTAAGATCATGGCCTCTGGTCCCATAACTTCGTGGCAAATAGATGGGTAAACGTTGGAAACAGTGACAGACTTTTATTTTTCTGGGCTTCAAAATCACTGCAGATGGTGACTGCAGCCATGAAATTAAAAGACGGCTGCTCCTTAGAAGAAAAGTTATGACCAACCTAGCCAGCATATTACAAAGCAGAGACATTACTTTACCAACAAAGGTCCGTCTAGTCAAAGCTATGGTTTTTTCAGCAGTCATGTATGAATGTGAGAATTGGACTATAAAGAAAGCTGAGTGCTTAAGAATGGATACTTTTGAACTGTGGTGTTGGAGAAGACTCTTGAGAGTCCCTTGGACTGCAAGGAGATCCAACCAGTCCATCCTAAAGGAAATCAGTCCTGGGTGTTCATTGGAAGGACTGATGTTGAAGCTGAAGCTCCAATACTTTGGCCACCTGATGTGAAGAGCCGACTCATTTGAAAAGATCTTGATGCTGGGAAAGATTGAAGGCAGGAGGAGAAGGGGACGACAGAGGATGAGATGGTTGGATGGCATCCCCCATTCACTGGACTTGAGTTTGGGTGAGCTCCGGGAGTTGGTGACGGAGGCCTGGCGTGCTGCGGTTCATGGGGTCCCAAAGAGTCGGACACGACTGAGTTGAGTTTGGGTGAGCTCCGGGAGTTGGTGACGGAGGCCTGGCGTGCTCCGGTTCATGGGGTCCCAAAGAGTCGGACACGACTGAGTTGAGTTTGGGTGAGCTCCGGGAGTTGGTGACGGAGGCCTGGCGTGCTCCGGTTCATGGGGTCGCAAAGAGTCGGACACGACTGAGTTGAGTTTGGGTGAGCTCCGGGAGTTGGTGACGGAGGCCTGGCGTGCTCCGGTTCATGGGGTCGCAAAGAGTCGGACACGACTGAGTTGAGTTTGGGTGAGCTCCGGGAGTTGGTGACGGAGGCCTGGCGTGCTCCGGTTCATGGGGTCGCAAAGAGTCGGACACGACTGAGTTGAGTTTGGGTGAGCTCCGGGAGTTGGTGACGGAGGCCTGGCGTGCTCCGGTTCATGGGGTCGCAAAGAGTCGGACACGACTGAGTTGAGTTTGGGTGAGCTCCGGGAGTTGGTGACGGAGGCCTGGCGTGCTCCGGTTCATGGGGTCCCAAAGAGTCGGACACGACTGAGTTGAGTTTGGGTGAGCTCCGGGAGTTGGTGACGGAGGCCTGGCGTGCTCCGGTTCATGGGGTCGCAAAGAGTCGGACACGACTGAGTTGAGTTTGGGTGAGCTCCGGGAGTTGGTGACGGAGGCCTGGCGTGCTCCGGTTCATGGGGTCGCAAAGAGTCGGACACGACTGAGTTGAGTTTGGGTGAGCTCCGGGAGTTGGTGACGGAGGCCTGGCGTGCTCCGGTTCATGGGGTCGCAAGGAGTCGGACACGACTGAGTTGAGTTTGGGTGAGCTCCGGGAGTTGGTGACGGAGGCCTGGCGTGCTGCGGTTCATGGGGTCGCAAAGAGTCGGACACGACTGAGCAGCTGAACTGAACTGAACTGAATGATCTTTCCCTGCATTTGGTCAAAATACAGGGAGAGCTCAGCATGTTTTATTTTCCACTTGAAGCAGTAAATAATTCTTATTTTTCTCTTGGTGAGACATGCTCCCTACCTAATGCAAGTGTTTTTTCCCCTATTTGCTAAGCATTTTAGATATTTGTATCATTTCTGATAGAGGGATAAGTGAGAATTATGCGTTACCAGAAATAATCCAAACTTGAGTACACTTTTGAGAAACATTCTGCTTGATTTATGCTGAATAGAGTGCTCTGTGTATGACTTGTTTTTCCTGAGCGAAGGGAAGAGATAGTTGAATAGAAATATTTACATGATAGTTTAAATATTGAAGTAAAAATGGTATTGGTTTGGTCTTCAGATTTGTGTTTTCATAAAGTAAAATAATGAAGCAAACTACAAAGCCAGCCTTCACAAGGAAGATGGTTAAATGAGTGGGCTAAAGGTTTAGCCCAGGAGACAGAGGCTGACTCCTGTGCTTGGGTCCTGACGTGACAGTCAGTGCCGGTGACACTGGGCAAGTAAGTTAGTTAACCTTACTGAGCCTCATTCACCCCTTTATTGTGGGGGCCAGTGACAGTACCTGCCTCTGAAGTTTCTATGTAGATGTAAGGAGAAAATGTATGTAAAATGCTGTTAGCTCAGTAGTAAATAATGAATAAAAAAGTTAGCCCACTTAACTTTGCTGTTGGTACAAGAGATGATGTATTGTATAACTTACCTTGACGGCATTATTGAAATGTAGAATTTTATTTCACAGCTCAAAGTAATGGATATAACAAGGTGCTTATTTCTGTAGCTAAGTCACAGCAAAGAAGTCAAGATTTTGAAACATAGGTAATTGATTAATTGTATTCACAAAAAATAATGTTTTCCCTAAGCAGACATTATAAATAAGTTAGGAATTTAAAAATAAAAGTACTCTCTTAAAACTGTCTCTATAAATATTTTTGGTATTCTACAATTTCAGTGTTACATATTCGTGTTAAAATCGTCTCTGTTTTACAGGGTTACATTGTTAGACCTTATGATCGCCAAAATCGTGGGCGATGAGCCACTGACCAAGGATGACGCCCCTGTGTTTTTGAGCCATGCTGAGTTGATCGCGAGCACTTTTGTGGATCAGTGCAAGATTGTGCTGAAACTGACCTCTGAACAGCACGCCGACGATGAGGTGAGAGAACAGAGAGGTTTTCTGACTCAGCCAGGTCCTTGGTGGTAAAAACTTTAAAGTATTATGTAAGGAACCTACCTACTGGGGACTGAATGTTTGTGGCTGGACCTCCTCTGAAGTTCCTGGTCAGAACCTGGTGCCCAGGGTGATGGTGTCAGGAGCAGGGCCTTTGGAGGCAGTTGGGTCATGAGGGCCTCACGGATGAGGTTGTAGAAGATAGCCTGGAAGGTGTCCATACCCCTCCCACTACCTGAGGCCACAGTGAGAAGTCGTCCCTCTGCAGCCCTGAAGAGGGCCCTCCCCAGAACCCAGCCGGGCTGACACCGTGATCTTGAACTTCCAGCTTCCGGAACTAAGAGAAATAAATGTTGTATATGAGCTACCCTGTCTGGTATTTGGTTACAGCAGACCAAGCTAAAACAGTATTATTTTAGAATGGTTACGAAAATATAGATTAGGGAAAGCAGTGCCCTGATTCTTACCATCCTGAGTTAATGACTTAAGAAGCTGTAATGAATGTATCTTCTAGGCAGTCAGCATCAAATATGTGCATGCACACACATAACACAGGTGTGTATAGAGAAATCATTTTTTGCTGCCTGTTTGTAAGTTCCTGTATTTTCTTCTCCTGAGTGTGAAAAAGCTGCATGAGGGCAGAAGTTTGGACGGTAATGTTCCTAGAACTATGCACAGAGTAGGCACTTAGCAAATACCTGCTGAATGCATAAATAAAGAATACACAGTGAATGTCTTAAAATGCTTGCATAGCATTCTGTGTAAAGAATTTGTCATAATTGGACATTTGAGTTGTCCGTATTTCTGTTTATTACAGCCAGTGCTGTCATCTGTTTGGTGTCTCTGGATGGGAAGGTGGGAAGGTGGACCCCAGCCCACAGCATTGCCTTGAGTGCTGTGTGTGGGGCTATGAACCTGTTCACTCACACAGTAAATGTCAGCTGTGACTATGCCCCTTTTACTGTGCAAGTGCATTTCCTTCTTTGTGAAAATACCGTTTTCAAAAGTGCTTTGCTGTGGTCTTCTGTGCTGTGTCACACAGGCCATGTTGGGTCTTGCTGATAAGGTCAGCTTCTTATTCTTAAGTCTGTGATGGAAGAGAGGGAAGTCTTACTCCTGGGGCGCTTTCCTTTCTGGAGGAAGATTCGCCCGTTTCCAGCAGGAGGAGCAGTGAGCTGTGCTTCAAGGAAGGTTTAAAGTGAATTTTCCAGGAGACGGAAGAGGAAGTAAACCTTAGCACTTGCTACATGGCAGCTTTAAACTTTGTCACGGCGCGCGTTCACAGTGTAGGCGATTCCAGTATCGTGAGAAGACATTACCCGGTGTGACTGTTTATGTTTAGGAAAAGCTGTCTCTTTCACACTTTTTCCTTTAACAGTGGGAGGAGTTATAATGTATTAATAGCTAGAAAACTTGGAAAGCCCAAATAGTCCACTTTTTCAAAATCCATTGTATTCAAAATACACTCAAATTGCCAACATCCATCGGATCATAGAAAAAGCAAGAGAATTCCAGAAAAACATTTACTTCTGCTTTATTGACTATGCCAAAGCCTTTGACTGTGTGGATCAAAAGAAACTGTGGAAAATTCTTCGAGAGATGGGAATACCAGACCACCTTGCCAGCCTCTTGAGAAATCTATATGCAGGTCAAGAAGCAACAGTTAGAACCAGACATGGAGTAATGAACTGATTCCAAATTGGGAAAGGAGTACGTCAAGACTGTATATTGTCACCCTGCTTATTTAACTTATACGTAGAGTACATCATGCAAAATGTGGGGCCAGATGAAGCTCAAGCTGGAATCAAGATTGCCAGGAGAAGTATCAATAACGTCAGATATGCAGATGACACCACCCTCATGGCAGAAAGTGAAGAGGAACTAAAGTGCCTGTTGAAAGTGAAAGAGAATGAAAAAGCTGGCTTAAAATTCAGCATTCAAAAAACGAAGATCATGGTATCTGGTCCCATCAGTTCATGGCAAATAGATGGGGAAACAGTGAGATACTTTAGTTTCTTCGGCTCCAGAATCACTGCAGATGGTGACTGCAGCCATGAAATTAAAAGACGCTTGCTCCTTGGAAGAAAAGCTATGACCAATCTAGACAGCATATTAAAAAGCAGAGACTTGACTTTGCCAACAAAGGTCTGTCTAGTCAAAGCTATGTTTTTTCCAGTGGTCATGTATGGATGTGAGAGTTGGACTATAAAGAAAGCTGAGCACCGAAGAATTGATGCTTTTGAACTGTGGTGTTGGAGAAGACTCTTGAGAGTCCCTTGGACTGCAAGGAGATCAAACCAGTCCATCCTAGAGGAATTCAATCCTGAATATTCATTGGAAGGATTGATGCTAAAACTGAAGCTTCAGTACTTTGGCCACCTGATGCAAAGAACTGACTCATTGGAAAAGACCCTGATGCTGGGAAAGATTGAAGGAGTGAGGAGAAGGGGATGACAGAGGATGAGATGGTTGGATGGCATCACTGACTCGATGGATGTGAGTTTGAGTAAGCTCTGGGAGTTGGTGATGGACAGGGAAGCCTGGCATGCTGCATTCCATGGGGTCACAAAGAGTTGGACACAACTGAGTGACTGAACTGAACTGACATGCTCGTGACTTGTGCATGTTAATATATGTATGTTATCCTTTAAGTTTGATGTTTTTTAAAAAAGCATTAGTAGTTTTTAAGGAGACCCATAACTCAGTACTTAATATATCATGAACCCGTGTTGTATTGGAGCTGACCTCTTCCAACTTGTGAGAGTCAGTTATTACTAAATATTCAGTAATTTTGAGCTGGTTATTAAACTCTTGATAGTTTCACATCAGCCATGGCAGAGGTATTTATACCTTGGAGAGCAGCGAATATTTACCAGTTAACTTTGTAATGTCAGTTTGCCGGCAAGCCACTGCATTTACCCACCTGTGATGTTTTGAGGACAAGATGTCCGATAAAGTTCTCATGATGCTGTGACCTAAAAATCAGAATGAAAGTAGATGTTTTTGTAGTATCTAGGCTTCCCTGGTAGCTCAGATGGTAAAGAATCTGCCTGCAGTGCGGGAGACCTGCGTTCGATCCCTGGGTTGGGAAGATCCCCGGGAGGAGGCCATGGCAACCCACTCCAGTATTCTTGCCTGGAAAATCCCTATGGACGAAGGAGCCTGTAGCCCTACAGGCCATGGGGTGGCAAAGAGTCAGACATGACTGAGCGACTAAGCACACAGCACACATTTTTTAATTTATATAATTACATGGCTTTAAAATTCTGAGGTTTCATTCATATATTCTTTTATACAAATAATCCTAGGTTCTCATACTAACACACAAGTTTCTGTCCTTTGGTATATTTTGGTATATTTTGCTTCCAGTGTGTGGTGTTTTTTTGTCAGTTCTGGTATGCTTGCTTTTTTAAGATTTGCTTTATCTTAAGTTTCAGTCTTGTCACTTGTTGCAGTGAAACTTGCCTTTCTTACAACATAATATTTCCTTTGTTGTAAGAAAAGGTAATTCAAGCCACAGCAGTGAAACAAAGTTAAGAACTCCTCTTTTTCACCCAGGCCCCATCTATTTTCTGTTAACTTAACAGCATATACTATTTCACTTCCAAAGGTTTTTTTGTGTGTATACACACTTACATATTTTTGTTACTTTTTAAAATACAGTACTATATATTTTGTTCTGTAATTTTCTTTTTCAGTTACTCTGATATATCTTACACTTGAACACATGTATTCATCCCATTCTTTTTAATAGTTGAATAGTATTACACTGTATAGAGCCATCAGAATTTTTTTCATTTATTCCCATAGATGTACATATGAGTTGATTCCACTTTTTTTTTTTTTAAACCTTTACAAATATTGTAACAGTGAAAAATCCTTATAAACATAACTTTGCAGTTTTGGGCAAGTCGATCTGGGATTATAAATTCCTGGCAATTGCTGAGTCACAGAGAACGTGTTTATTTAAAATTCGTAAGAGTTGTTTCTAAATAACACACCTAAATCCACAAGAGTATATGGGTTTGCACCCTTTCACTAATCTAATTATCATTTCTCTCTTACTTTTCATTGACCTATATGTTAGTTTGTTTTTCACATCAGGTTACCTTTTAAGATACTTTTTTTAATGAGCATTTTCAGAAAGTTAAATGTTTTATCACAATTAGAAGAAACTTTTTTTGCCCATAGTTAATTTTTTGTTTGAATTTATTTATGGTAGTGTTAGCCTTTTGGGAGTTTGTTTTTAATTCAGTTAGGTTTATCAGTTTTATCCTTATGACTTCTGAATTTCTTTACAGATTTAGTAAAATCGTCCTCACTTAGAGTGTGGAAATAGACACCTGTATACTCTGGCTCTTTCAGGACCTTGTCCACGTCTGCCTACAGTACAGGAGACCCAGGTTCGATCCCTGGGTCGGGAAGATCTCCTGGAGAAGGACATGGCAACCCACTCCAGTGTTCTTGCCTGGAGAATCCCATGGGTGGAGGAACTTGGTAGGCTGCAGTCCATGGTGTCGCAAAGAGTCGGACGTGACTGAGCGACTTCACTGCGCTCACTGACTTTGTGTGAGAATGTGGCACAGATCCAAAGGAATGGCTGGTGTCTTTTACCTCTCCAAGATTATGTAATCTTTGGTAGAAGACAGCTGGGTTTGAACCTGAATTTCTTCTGTTTCTGGTGTGTGATCTTGGAAGTTACCTGCCATCTCTGTGCCCCAGTTTCTTTACCTGTAAAATGAGTTGTATTTTAATATAAGCACTTAGTATACTGATTGGTATCTACCTAATATTCCCTAAATGTTATCTGTTAATTATAGTATCAGTACCATTTGTTGAATAATCTCATCATTTCTACTAATTTTAATGCCACCCAAATCATATGTTAAATTTTTAATATAATTTTGCACCCATTTCTGTATTTCCAGCCTTTTACAGTGGAAACTGGTAAGATACTAACCTCTGTTAAAGAATTCAAAGAGCCACGTGTTTATGTGTGATAAAGGAATGCTGAAATGAACTTACAAAGAGATGCAGAAACTGGTCAATGAACAAGGCAGTGATTAATTGCATTCCAGCCAGACAGGAGTAATCTGCATTTCTGTAGACAAGAATACTTTCCACTATTATCAGTTTTCTGCAACTGATAGTGTAAAATAGCTCAGAGACACTGAATGGTAAAGTGAACCCAGACAGATGATCTAGAAAAACAATCTGTTTTTCTCTTTTACTCATTTTAAAGTCGTATTCCTTTGCTTTGCCTACATCTTTTTTTCCCCTACTAGTGCCTGACTTAATATACATAGTTTTACAATATTTATAAATATTGGAATGGCATCTCACTTATTTCTCTTGTTTTTTTAAGAGAATTTTTTCCCCTGGCTGTTATTTCATTATTAGCTTCCAAATACTTGTTAGAAGCATTTCATTAATGAAAGTATTCTGATGATTAAAATTGGAAATTGGTTAGGTGAGGATAGATTAATTTTCTTTTGGGTTTATTTCAGATAATAACATAGAAATGAGGAGTTGAAAAGAAACTTTCAGATCATCTGTTCCTACCCCCTAATTTTATATCTTTTTATCATGAAAAATTTCAAACATAGACTAAGAGAAAAAATGTTGTTAAACCCCATCACCCAGCTCCAGAACTTATCAGTTCCTCATGGTTCTTGTTTCATCCATAGTCCTACCTATTCTTACACTGGATGTCCCAGATTCTCATAGGGTTCCACATAGTTCATCAGTTAACATTTTATACTTGTCTCTGAAAGATAAGGAGACTTTATATTAATACATGAGTGAAATACAGGTAACACATCTGAAAACTTAACAAAATATAAATATCAGATGAACAGTATTCAACTGTTCCCCATTGTATAATATTTTTTTTCAAGTTTATTTCTTTGAATCAGGATATAAGTAAGAGCCATACATTACAATATGTTGCTGTGTCTTGAATCTCCTTTAAATAGCCTTTTAGAGCTGGTTTTGTGAAATTGTACAAAGATGATGAGTTGTTTAGTCTTGCTTTTAATCATTTTGAAGTCATGGCTTATAAACCATTGGATTTGTTTTCAGTTTTAGCATTGATTGTTCCTGATGGTCTCCTGTGCTAACCAGGGGAGCCTCTTCCAGTTCCTTCTGGTTTCTTCCCACATGACTGAGGAGTTTCTTGATAGGTGCCTTGCTCTCTGGTATGACAGGGTGTCCAGGGCAATCTCATATGTGCTCTGTCCTGACCTACAGCCAGGCAGCCGTTTCTTGAAGGAGAAGTGGTGTCTAAAGATGCCAGTCCGGGCAGCTACTCATTTAATAAAAGAGGATGCCAGCGCCGTGCTAATAAGTTGATAGGTTTGCTCAAGTCTTTTAGACAGACTTAGCATCTGGATATTTTCTCCTAACTTTTCAACTAGCACATGAAAGCTGTTAAAGAAACCAAAAATGTGTGTTTCTTGCTATATCAGATTTCAGAACAGTATATTAAAATATAGTCTACTAATTGGAGAATAATAAATATACATTTAGAAGTTTTAAAAGGAAGTAACTCGTTTTTCTTTTGAAGAATGTTATCTGAGATAATAGAGTTAAATTTACATTATTTACCACATTGTTTCAAATAATGTAAAGATGAAGAAAAAAAAAAAGTCTGTGCAATAATGGCATTTGAAAATTAGACTACCTGATGCCATGCAGTTGGTAGTTTCTTGATTGTGTAGTTTATTTGATATAAATTATTTATAGTTATGTGAACATTTTCAGATAATATTATCTTTTCCAACTATTAAAGATAGCATATAGGTTTGTATTTACCCAGAAATAATCCAAGTTATTGCAGTCATCGTTCTTTCAATCACAGCATTTTACAGGATTCCTGTGGACAAGAAAGTAATGTATTTCATGGGTTACTTAGTAGAACTTGCTTGCTGGGAATTCTTTAAAAAGAAAGTATTTACATAAGTGTTATGTACATAGCTAGTCATTTTGAACATTTATTCCACTGTTGGAAGGTATTTTTGCTTGAATAAGAACTTTTCTGACTCTTTGCTCTAAGAAGCTGCATAATCTTGTATTCTTGATGGCAGATGTCTGTTAGTGAAAACGATTATTTCTGTATGTATTTAATACTGGTGTTTTGTTCTTGATAGTTCTGGTTGTCTCTTTAGGTGTGTTACAAGTATTGTCTCTTGACTATTTTTTGTAACATTTTGTTCTCCTACAGTTATTTGTAACAGTCACATCATTTAGCTTGTCTTGAAAGTCATGGTTTTTTTTTCTTTGTAGGAGGCACTGGCTACAATTAGACTTCTTGATGTCCTTTGCGAAATGACTGCTAATACTGACCTGCTCGGCTACCTGCAGGTTTTTCCTGGCTTGTTGGAGAGAGTGATTGGTGAGTGAAATATCACACATAGTGTTGTTTTTAATAAAAAAAATCTTTGACTTGTCATACTATAGTATAAAGTTTAAACACAGATCCTTAATTTTCAGTGTATTGGTCTTTTAAGATTTTTTGGAATGTTTTTTCTTGAAAGGAATTGCCGTGTTTTGGTAGCAGCTCTGGCTTTCGCCCCTTGCCCGCTGTTTATGGCGCCCGCTCAGCAGATGAGGACCCTTGTCCTTCCACGCAGGACGCCCCCAGTGGTGTCCCCTCAGCAGTGGCTGTGATGATGGTGGCGGGTGGGGGAGGGCTATGAGAGTAATGGGGGGGTTTCAGTGGTGATGGTGATTTTTATGCTACTGTCGTTTTACCAGTCTTATTTAGTAAATTTTTCCCAGTTTCACTTAGGGAACTTGAAGAATATTACCTTACCCATAGTAATTATGTATTCCATTCTTATAAGAAAATTGTTTTAAACAGGAAGCTATTGTTTGAAATATTATCATCTTTGCTAAAAAACTGTTTGCAAAATAGTTCACTTACAACCTGTTGCTTGTGGTTAGCCATGCTTGTGGTTGCTGATCACTGTTGGCTTTTTTTTCCTTTATAAAGAGAGTACACTTATTCTGGAGACCCATCTTCCAAGAAAGGTGAATTGGCGTCTAGATGGGTAGAGGAGTTAGCAGCGAACTTTAGAAGATATTTAGAATTTCACATCAGTGTTTTATTTTGAATGCAGTGCTTTTAGTGATAGTTAAAATAAGACATCACAAAACTGAGAAACTGAATTATTACAGGAAAAGCGTGTGTTTGGAGCCTGAGCAAACATGGATTGTCAGCCCAACTGCCAGGTTACTAACTTCTCTGAACACGGTTTCTTCATTTTAAAGTCAGGAAAGTGACCTGCCTTTAATGACTTTGTTGAGAGCGGAATGAGATAATGTGGAAACAGTTTATAAAGCCTCTGGAAGATTGTCTACTTTCACAGACTGCCTACAAGTATTTCATAGAGTATAATAGTATTAAGGTATTTCTTCTGAGTGTACCCAAAATATATTAATAGAGAACTTGTGCTGACTTCTGATTATCTGAACAATGAAAAAAAAAAATCAACGTGCTTCTTGATTTCTATCATATAGTTCGTTGCAGATAGGTACTGAAGTTTAGGGGCATCCATGGTGGCTTAAATGGTAAAGAATCCACCTGCAATGCAGGAGATGTAGGTTCGATCCCTGGGTCGGGAAGATTCCCTGGAGGGAGAAATGGCAACCCCCTCCAGTGTCCTTGCCTGGGAAACCCCATGGACAGGAGGTCCTGGCGGGCTACAGTCCACGGGGTCACTGAGTTGGACAGGACTGAAGGGGCTTAGCTCGCACTGCAGGTGGGACTTAGCTGACTGCAGTCATCACATGAGTGCCTTCATAAAGACGTTGGATTTGGAGACCTTGTACTAGGAAAGATGGAAGAAAATTTTTAGCTGACTTTTCTGTGTGGATATATAGAAAGCCCAGGTTGGGGTAATCATTTTGGCTTATCATCCCCCAAATCAGAGTTACAGTAAATACTAAGGCAAACGCTGAAGAGCCTTCTAACCGTTACTCTGATGGAAGTTTTCCGCACTTTGTGCATGCGTGTGTGCTAATTTAATTCCCTTCCATCCTGTCTGACTCTTTGAGACCCTGTGGACTGCAGCCTTCTAGGATCCTTTGTCCATGGGATTCACCAGGCAAGAATACTATACCTGTATTTTATTTTAATCCATTAAAATAAATTACATTTATTTATGAGAATCTAATACAAAACAAGGGACTCTGGACTGCAGGGAGATCCAGCCAGTCAATCCTAAAGGAAATCAGTCCTGAATATTCTTTGGAAGGACTGATGCTGAAGTTGAAACTCCAATACTTTGACTACCTGATGCGAAGAACTGACTCATTGGAAAATAACCTGATGCTGGAAAAGATTGAAGGTGGGAGGAGAAGGGGACGACAGAGGATGAGATGGTTCCATGGCATCACTGACTCGATGGACATGAATTTGAGTAAGCTCTGGGTGTTTGGTGATCGACAGGGAAGCCTGGTGTGCCGCCGTCCATGGGGTCACAAAAGAGTTGGACACGACTGAACAACTGAACTGAACTGAGCGCACAACAAAAACTTTCCTGTGGAAAACGGTGTACCCTCTCTGTTGTAGATCTTCTACGCCTGGTTCACGCGGCCGGCAATGACTCCGCAAACATCTTCAGCGCTTGTGCTTCCATTAAAGCAGAGGGCGATGTCTCCAGCGTGGCTGAGGGCTTCAAGTCTCACCTCGTTCGCCTGATCGGGAATCTGTGCTACAAGAATAAAGACAACCAAGACAAGGTGAGGCTCTTAGTATGCTTTATGCATATACGACTTTATTTACAATATAGGAGTTAGGACTTAGAATCTATTCATTTTCTGGAAATGAAGCCTTGAAGTACTTAGACAGTAGCTTGAGGTATATGTATATGTGTATATTTTCACAGATTGACATATTGTGTCATATTTGTTTGTATTAGGGTTTGTATTTTTTGTAACTTTTGCATTGTATTTGCTCTTTGTGTGTTTGAACCAGTCTCCTTTGTATTAAACAGTCAGTTCTTGTCCTAAGCCTGTGTGTTTGAACACACTACTTATTTATATGGAGCACGATGAGTGAAAAAGAGAACCTAGAAGTTTTCAAGCACATAGTAGACATTTAATAAACAGAATTTCTTTTGGATCATTATCTTAAGAAACAAACAGATCTTAACATCTGTGCCCTGCATTTATGCATCATAAGGTTTCCTTCCAGATGCTCTGACGTGGACATAAACCTCTGAAATCTCTCAGAGGCCGCTGGGGGGGGGCCTCTTGTGCTGAACAGCTGAGGGTGATTGTGTTGCTGATGTGAGAGGGTGAGAAAAGGAGATAGCAGGAGGGTTGGACCACGTGCTTCCCTTTGAACAGCCTGCTTGTGTCTTTGTAGAGTTTTGCTTTTGTTTGGTGGTGTTTGTTTTGCTTTGTCAGATACTGAACATATGTGGGGCAGATTATATTTTTCCAAGATGGCTGCAAAAATATCTATCATTCTGTATGTATTCCTGCAATGTGACTTTGCCACTTCTTCGTCAGAGGTTAGATTTATTTCTCCATCCTCTTGAATCTCGATGACTAAGGCCTGTGACTGCTTTGAATTATAAAATATGGTGGGAGGGATCCGGTACCGCCTCTGGTCTAGTCCTTTACTGGTTAGGTAGATTCTGTATCTAGCCTCTTAGAGGCCAGTCATCATGAGATTACCACGTCCACATAGAGAAGCCCTGGAGCATGAGATGCAGTGATGAGAGAGAAAGGGGCTGGTAAACAAACCCCAGGGCACCAGGCACAGAGTGAGAGACCATCTTGGAACATTTTAGGTCGTTGCCCAGTTTCTTTGTTCCAAGCACAGTTCCTCAGTTGCCCAGCTGATGCATGAATCAGGGACAGCCTGCCTGGCAAAGCCTTTTCTGAATTTGTGACCCACAGCATTGTGAATAAAAGGAAAAGTTTTGGGGAAAAAATAAGTTGTGTAGGTTCTGCTTCTGTTAATGGCCCTGTAAGCTACTGTTGGACTGATCCTCCTACAAGTAATAAGCTCTGGACAAAAGACAGCAATGTGAAGACACTGAAATTTGACATAGTTAAATTTTGTGGAGTCGAGAGGACACTTGAATGAAGGGCACAACAACGTGTGCCCTGTGGGGCAGTTAAGACTGGTAGAAAATCTCTAGTTCTTTTAGCCTAGAGAGTCAAAGGACAGTTTGGAGCAGCCACAGCTTTTAGAAAGTGAAAGTGGAAATCCTGGAAAGAAGAAAGTAAGCCCTACATACTACGTACCAACCTCATGAATCTCTGCTGGTGCCTGAATCCAAGACAGCGTCAGGCTCCAGGCAGCTAAGCTAAGGATAAGATAGTGACACTGAGATTTGAGCCGCCAACTTAAAAGTCTCAGTTTAAGTCCAACCAAGATAATTACCTACTGAAACAAATAAGATACCAATATTCTGTAGAGGAATATAATAGAACCTAGAGTTTTCCATACCATAGCATTCACAATGTCCAAGATAACTTACAGCCCAAACTTATATGAAACACAGGAAGATATAACCCATTATCAAGACAAAAAAAGATAGTGGAGATAGACTGTGTGATGACACAGATGTGGATTTCAAAGCAGCTGTGACTCTGCTCAAGGATGCAAAGGAAAAATGCTTTGAGTGAATGAGAAGATCGCTTTTCTCAGCAGCGAAATAGGAACTATATAAAAGAACCAAACAGAAATCTTAGAACTGAAAAATACAGTATCCAAATAACATATAGAAATGTTACCAAATGAAGTTAACAATTCAATAGAGAGGACAGAGAAAAGAGTCAGTGAACTTGGAGATAGAGCAGTAGAAGTCATCCAGTCTAGAGAACAGAGGAGGGGAAAGACTGAAGATGAAGTGGTCATCCTAAGATGCTAAATCTTGGGGTAGTGTGTTGTGCAGCATTTGGTAACTGGAATCGTTCTTACAGGACATGGCACAGACATGCTAGACAGTTTGCTCTTTCATTATACACGTATGCTGTTCCAGTGGCTCCTCATCTGTGAACAGGCACGAGTGGAAGACTGCCAATCCACCCTTGGAAAATTACTGGACTGATTTTTATAAAAGAAAGTTGATGGGGAATAAAACACTTTACCTTTTTAATGACCAAGACTGCCTTTCTTCAGGAGCACAAAAGGTGGTTTTCTTGTGTTTAACTATTCTTTTGTTGCTAATTTGGATTGCCTTCTTAAAGGAACAAAATGTAGTAACCCTTAAAAGGCTTATGAAATAACTCACTGAGGTTGGATCAGATTGCAGCGTAAGTAAATACGGAATGTGCCCCAGGGCTGCTCTGGAGAGTTCCTGGGACTCACAGGAAGTCAATGGTGTGTCCTTCACATGTGCAGTTGCTGATAGCTCTGCTGACTTCTGAGCAAACACTCTTGAAAGTATGAAGGCATTCGTTCTTTAAGTGTAAGAATGCCTCTGTTTCTCCTACAATTTTTACCTATGCCAACAAAAAGCTTAGCCTGAAAGCATTGCTTGTGGGATTTTGTTCTCCTTCCAAAGAAGCTATCAAAGCATCACAGCCGTGACTCACTGGGTGTTAGCCCTTGCTCATTGATGCCGCAGAGAGTGGAGTTCATTTTAGAAAAACGGATGGTTCTAGAGCAAGTCCTTATCACCATGCTGTTGATTTTCGTTATAGCATCTGGATGGATTTTCTGACTTCTCTGCAGATCGGGGCCTAGAAGGACGTTTGGCTCTTTCTCCATGACTAAAGATTCGTGTTAGGGGGTTTTACATCATCAACTTAATTAAGTTAATCCTTCACCCAGAGGGGAAACGGAGCTGATGGCTTGTTTAGTGTCTGCTTTGTCCAGCCCTGTGCTTATGAACATGTAATATCCTCTTTCATCTTTGCATCAGTCCTAGAGTCAGGTTCTGCAGCCACACTGTAGGGAGAAGCCATCAGTTAGTGAGCTGCAGGCCCAGAGCAGAGTTAGGCTTGTCTGAGTGCCTGGTCCTGTGCTCTCTCCCCTCTACCGTGGGGCTTCTCATCTGGAAGCTTCCCAGGGGCTTGGGGACGATGCCTTGAATAGACTTCCTGAGTGACCTCAGACCGAAGGTGCTGGAGGCTAACCGGGCTCCTTGGGCCTGCTCTTGGTTCAAGTTGGCCACCCTTTTGCAGTTCACATCTCTGTCTCTTGAGTCATCCATTCATCAATTGGGTGTGGCCCTAGCCTTGGGGACCCTTAGATGGATAAGGCAGGCCAGACTCTCCTCCTGTGCAGCTTCCCCTCTTGGAGCACTGAGGGACCGTCCTTGCTTGTTGAACCAGAATCCCAGGGTTATTGGCACACATTTCCTGCAATTTTCGTGCACTACTGATTGCTCTGAGGTTTGGTCAGAAGTCATTTAACCCCAGCTAGGTCTCTGCTTATCTGTGTAACTTCATTCATTGCATTGAGTGTGGTGCCCACCGGCAGATGACTCCCCCATGATTAGTTATGTGACCCTTTCTCTGTTGCAAAGGTCTTTTCCTCTGCATTAGTTCTTTGGAACGTTTCGACACCTCTGTGGCAAGGCTGAAAAGATATTGTCATCATTTTCTAAATGAAGAAACCAAAGCTCAGAGGGACTGAAGTGAAGTCGCTCAGTCATGTACGACTCTTTGCAACCCATGGACTGTAGCCCACCAGACTATGGGCTACATGGGATTTTCCAGGCAACAGTACTGGAGTGGGTTGCCATTTGCTTCTCCAGGGGATCTTCCCGACCCAGGGATCGAACTTGGGTCTCCTGCCTTGCAGGCGGATGCTTTACCGTCTGAGCCACCAGGGTTTAATTCAGCTGGCATGTATGGAGTGGACCCTGCTGTGTGCTGCGTGCTCACCGTAGTAGGGAGGTGTGCAGGGCACCTGCAGCTCTGGCCAGAGTCCCTGCTTTGAGGGGGAGGGCACAGTGGGAGAGGAGCAGCCCTCTGTGAACTTGGATGGGAGCTGGCCTGCAGCATGGGAACAGGGAGGGGGGTCATCTTTTCCATTCGTGTCCATGGGCAGTTTTTAGGAGGATCAGGCTGCCTGGTCTGCGGTTGAAAATGTACTCAGAAATTTATCTTCCCCAGTTTTCCGTGAGTCTTGGGTCTGTACACATGGTGAAGTGTAGTATTTCTTGAATTGTAAAGTAATTTCTGCACTTCCCTTTACCAAGTCATCCTAGGGAAATGTTCTTAAATACAGTACCTAGTGACTTCTGTTCTTACCTGTGTTTTGTGCTTGACTCACATGGTGTTTTCCTGCCACCTCTGTGGTGGTCCGTTTACGTGTAGACCTTTGCGGACCTGAAGTGGAGATTGTGTTTTGGGTTCTGTTGTGAGAACCACATGGGTGTTAATGCTGCAAACATGACAAAAGCGCTCTCCAGCTGCTTCTTTGTTAGAGTGAGGAATGTTCAGTTTGCTGTGTTTCTTCCTCGTTCTTCTCTTCGCTATTGTCATGGATGCTCTAAGTGGGTGCTTTATTATTGAATAGAAGAGAAACCAAACGCAGTGTTTGTTTTTTTCATAAAGCTGAATGCATTCTTCAAAATGGATGAGCAGGTGATCCAGTTTCTCTACCTTCTCCCGCACACTGCCCTCCCCACCCGCCAAGAGCTCGTGGTGACTAAGGTGGCCTGTCCACTGTTGTGGCTGAATTCCTTCTACTGAAGGTTTTGTGGAAATGCTGTTCAGTGTCTTCTCTTCCCCCTTCTGCTCCTCATTGAAAGATTGCTAGCTTTCACACA